TGCTATGTTCAACCTATATTCCAAATGTTGTTAATCTCCAACAAGTATAACATACTTTCAGCTATTCTCACAATGAATTTTGACTCATGTTGGTTGCCTTTTTAAGTTACTTGCCTGAGGACAGAAAAACAAAACCAGCATTAGGAAAAAAAAAAAAAGTATTTTCCCAATCCTGTGCTTGGGGCATTAGTAGAATTATTTAGCTTTTTTTTCCACACTTCCAGGTTGGTGTCTGCAGACATTGCCAAATTTGCAGACACCTCAAGTCAAGCTCATATAAACTTCTTACATCTCTTGGAAGTGAAAATTGGAGGGACAGATTCTTATTAGACATGCTGGAAAAACGTATAAGCTTGAAAGCAAAGAGTTGCTCGTTGCTTTTGGTTGTGACCGGTGTCTTTCGACTTCTTGCTAAGAGTACCTCTGCAAAAGAAAGTGCTTAGCCTCAGTCACTCACAGGGTGTAATTCTGGGAGCTGATTCACAGAAGTGCCACAAGGGAATATTTCAGAAATGCTCTGCACAGTTGTGTCTCCTCAGCTGTGGGCAAGAATTTCCTCCTTTTCATTTGAATTTTTCTCAGCTCTGTTCTTTCACATTTTCATAGGATGTATCAACACTAGCAATGATGTTCCCAGAAGTGGAATACTTTTAAAATATGTATCTTTGAGTACACACATTTTAAAGAGTATTTGAGGCATTGTAGAAATGCTTGTCTATGCTTGATATATGTGTTTACTAAGTTAGCACACATTATTACATTTCTATCTCTCTGTCTGCCCATATATCTGTCACACAGATTTGAAATGTTTTTTACGCACAGCGTAGTCCTCCCTGAGGAAGTTTGAAATGCTCGTACATTGATTAGACATGAGGTATCTGGTGCAGCACTGTTTTTTAGGTAAGTGGTATGTTTGGAAGAGATGTCAAAGTTGTTCCACGATGTCACTGTTAGCACCAAGTGATCTTTAAGGTTTGCTTCTTGCACAGTTTAATTAGCTCATTGGCTGAAGCTCAGCTTTCTTCCTGATGTCCACAGCTTGTTGTTTCAGCTGTGACATGTTCTCCCTTGTCTCATAGCTCGGGGAATTGATGTCTCCTGGAACAAAGTGCACTGGTTTGTATCAAAAGACGATGTCTACATTTTTAGTGATCTTTTTGTTCTGGGTTTTAGAGAACTTGTGTTTTTTTTCCTCAAATAGTTGTGATATGGAGAATAAAGTGCCTTTTTTTTTTTCCTTGGCATTTTAGTAGATGAACCATGGCTTTTAATTGTGGGAGAGAAGAATTGGCAAGATTATCTTGAATAGTGACACTGAGACATTTAAAACAGAAAAACTCTTGTTGAATCATTCTGTGCTTAGTTAGGTGACTGTCTTCCTTTAAAAAGGAAGAGATGGGATTGAATTCAACTAGGTGGTAATTTGATGGCAACATATACTCCTGTTTGTGGGATTACTTCTAGCCAAGGATTGGATTTAGAGTGTGTTTTCATATAAGCTTGGTCTCTTAATGATGCAAGAATGTTTGGTGAAGTCACTGAAATCTCTTAATATGAGTTTTGGGAATTACACTCCTCTGCCCACAAACTGCCTCTTTTAACTCTGCTAGGAAAGTTTTATTACATTAGCATTGTTTTTTAGGATTAAAAATAGCAGCAAGTTTACAAGGTTGGTTTTGTTACTGTATGTGTAGATCAAGCGTGCATTTCAATAAAACTGTTTGGATGGTTTGTTTTAATGGAAAAATATCTGTTTGAGATTTGAGAGCAACAGGGCTGCTCTTGTGGCATTTTTACCCTTCCAGATTTAGGCAGCATGCAGGGGCGAGCAATGCTGCGGAGGCCAGCCCCAGAATGGAAGGACAGGTTAGCACGGCCCCTTTCGGAGAGGGGCTCACAGGGACTTTGGGCATAAAGGCTTGAACAAAGGCGCTCTCGCGTTGGGAAGCAGCAGCTTGACCCTCAAGCGGTGTGGAAGCAAGATCGCTCAGTCCCACGGGGATTTCAAGAACTCCAGTATTGTTTTCATTGCGGCTCTCAGCCTCCAGAACGTCATTTCTCACCACAAAGGAAAATAAAGCCCGGGAGCGATGGAGTGTTAGCTCCAGAGCAGAGGAGCAGGG